GTGTGTGTGTGTGTGTGTGTGTGTGTGTGTGTGTGTGTGTGTGTGTGAGAGAGAGAGAGAGTTGGAGGTTGAGGGTGGAGCCATGCGAGTGTACATCTGTGTGTGAGTGAGCGTGTAGCGGAGGACCCTATGATCTCAGCTTGTGCTCTTGTTGCTCTGTCTCATGTTGTCACAGTGACCTCTACTGCTTACATGGCCACCCACCTCAGCATCCACACCTCCTCCTCCATCACCACACACAACGCACTAGAGCCATATCTTTACGGGTGCAGATACTGTGTGAGTATATACGCTTAACTCGTGGCAAAATAAGCCAATAAACCTTCTTATCTAACTAATTCTAACACTGTCGTACTCAGGAAGCATCTTCTTTCTTTTCTGCCTCCCCGATGCTGAAGTGACCTTCCCTCGGTCACAAGTATCATTCGCCCCTTTTTGGTACTTGACTGAAGACTCATCTCTCCAAAGAGCCTCTGACACCACCCTTTCTGCATTGAGTGGTATCGCCGCCGTATTTTGCAACTTTAGAAAAATGTATTCAGTTTGTCCGTCGCAACAGCTTTCATTTGAATTCTTTGCTCACTTTCCAGTCTGAATTCTACTCAGTAAAACATTTAAGTACATACAAAATATATTTCAATTTCAATTAAATACACATAAAAAGCAATTGTACCTGCAAGAACATGTCAGTAAATTACTTATATTGCTTATAAATCATGCATTATTCTCTATAATATAATTTTAATTAAAGGGGCATTCTGCAGTCAAAGTCAATTTACTGAGGCCAAGGATCCAGTGTTTTTGGAGCTTGACCCATAGGGACTAAAGTACAGCTTATGTTGGTCTTGGCTGCTTTTTTTTATTTCTTAAATCTGTCAAACACAAGTCCCTTAGATTTTATGGATATACAATCCTAAATTACTGAAGTACTCCCTTAATTTTAATGAAATGAAACGTACTATTTAGGTTTGTGCGGACAGCGCACGATTAAAAGTAATTGCAGCTGAGTTAACTAGAAGTCAATTTACATCTGTTGACGCTTTGACATTACATACAGGAAGAACTCAAATTTAGCAGACAACACACACCAAACCCTAACTTAACCTATAAATAACTGATTATTGCTCTTAATGAGAGAAAAAGATGTCGGAGCACTACTTCTCTATTCTTTGATATTGCTACAATGTTGGGGAACTGGTATTTGAAGTTATTCCATGGTTGTGCCCTTTCCATCATATTGTTTATTTGAAGTCACTCTGAGTAAGAGCATCTGCTTCATATTAAATACAATAAGTGTTTGGTAGCCTATCAGAAAGTCCCACTCCAGGCATCACTGTATGTGAGTAGAGAAGGAGTATGTGAGAGACTCTTTGCTTATCCCTCTCAGCAACTGGTTAGTATGGTGTTTGAATATTAATTGAGTCTGGTCCTAAAAGCTGGCTTTGACTGTGACCTAGCCATATGTGTCTCACACACACACACACACACACACACACACACACACACACACACACACTCACACACAGAAACCCTTCATCCTTTCCTAGGACGTGAAGATCTTCTCTCCTGAGGGACTGGTAGATGAGGAGGGCTGAGGTGTTGATTACTGCAGTGCTCAACAGTCAAGGGTGTGTGTGTGATGGGGGGGGCAGGTTAAAGAGAGGGGCGGCCAGCTATAGCGCCTCCTCTAGACTCCTTCTCAGCTGCTGGAGACATCAAGTGTAAAATTTCGCACACTTTCAAACATACTCCATCAAAACCCACGAGGTCACACTTATATGTGCGCGAGTGAGGAAACCACTTTGAAAGTGTAGTTGTACAAGCTTGTAGATTCTAGACATTGAATGTTGGCCTAGACTTAGACTTACCCTAACAGAAGTACACCTTTGTTAAGTTATTTGGAAGAAGTAGCTCAAACTATTTTGTAAAAATGATGACACTGTGTCTCTAATTCAATAGGATATTGCAAAAAAATACTACCGAGTCAATTTTAAATAAAGTGTAAGGAGTTGTCTCTGCGTTGACAGCTGTCAGACAGTAGTCATACAGGACAGGGACATCTTAAATCGTCCTAAATAAATAACTTCCAGATATAATCTGCAGGTGAATTGAAGTAAGCTACTGCAAAAGGTTGTACTACTGAGCAAACTAAACCAATATGGTATACATGAGATTGATTAATAGATTTTCTGTAAGAATGCAAGATAGTAATTGATGACATTTGTCCTCTTTTTTTCCCAGCAACAACGGCGTCTCGACCTGTTAACCATCACCAACACTGGTAAGTCCCTGAGATCTTACGACTTCACTTTCGCCCACAGTCCAGCTCTCTACTTCAACACCACTCCGCCACTGATGTAAAACTGCACTGTGATGCTCCTCCCATTGGAAGCCCAGCATCAGTGTGTTCTTTCCATGTTTTCCATGTGGCATGCTATGGAGTAGACAGAAACATGCCAGTAAAGCACACCGTGTATTTCCCTCTAACCTACTTCTAAATGCTAAACGGGTTACAAGCTGTTTTCTGGATGCTGCTTTCCTCCACAAACATTACTGCACATGTTGTAGGACCAGTGCAGATAACATGGTGCTTGTGCTGTGGAAAACCCTGAAGCGGAAGCTTGAACACAACTGACATGCTTCATGCTCTACAGACACACTCTCCAGACACTTTAAACCCACATAAATACAGGTCTATAAGTCTCTCACATGTATTATTTATATATTGAATATCCAATATGCACCTCAGACGTGTCTGACTGCTACAGTCGGAGACGGTCCATATGGTGCTCCAAGTTTGACTGGAAACATGTCACAAAAGAAGTGGCACTGTTAGAAATCTATGCCAGCCTCGTACTGTAGAGAGGCGGCCGCGAGAACGAGGGATCTGCTGAGATGTAAAGCAAGGAGAAATTCGTAAGACGGGGGAGGAGAAACAGATGGGGATGGCGATGAGGACACAGAGACCCATATGCCTAAAATATCTGGATGATCTAATATGCTTTGATTAGAATAATGCCTATGTGATGCTCATGGAGACCGGGTTAATTTAGCAAGTTTACGTTGCAGATGTTTCTTAAGCCCTGAGCAGAGGCAAGACTCTCCCCTGGACAGTTTGACGGTGAGAAATAAAGGGCTGGGTAGTGTGGTCAAGTGAGACAAAGACATGAGGGAGGGATTAGATTGTCATATAGAATTATATGCTAACATGTGTGCATGTATACAACAACTAATTTGAATGAAACTGACGTCAGAAAGCGTTAGTTTACTGGTTGTGTTCCTGATGGACTGTCACAAATTCATGTCCTCCAATTTCTTTTGTCTGCCAAGCAGCAACATGCTGCTGTCACCGTGTTTCATGTTTGAGGCATCTGAACGTGGTTTACTTGTTTGTTTGTTCGTGTCTCATTAGAGCTGAGGGTATTTCTCCTCATGCTTTAAGGTTGGTACACTCCAGATGGGCTGACAAATGTGATCTACTTGGAGCAAACTCTCTTCTTGCCATTCTCATAAAAACACTCCCTGTTTGGGTGAATACTGCACCACTCGCTGGGCTGTCATTGCTCTTTGCTTCTGATACTAAAGGAAAATATTTCTTACAAATTATCAACCAAAATACAGTTCTGAATAAATTCCAGGCAATAAAATAGGCCACTGAGTTTTAGAATCATGCTCTATATGTCATATCTTAAACACATAATTTAAATGATTGTTAATGATTTTCAGGACTTTTTAGATACTGCAGGTTACATCATCATGTATGACTCTTTCTTTTCCACTACTGTACTTGCTCTATTTTTTGTTAAGTTAACAGTCACAGGAAGTGTGACTTCCATTTAAGCTCCTGCTGCCTTAGAGGTCTCTGTAGGGCCTCGTTAGAGTGACTTAATTGATGGCAAAAAACAATTAAACTTAAATGAAATGCAACACAAACAGCAAAGGGATCTGAATGCTTTGCAAAGCTGCTGTACTCACCAAGGTTATTTTAATTTATTGGTTAGCCAGTATGCAGCAACAAACTAAAGTGCTCCATGGTCTCACTTACTTTTTGTGTTGATTTTGGTCCCAGGGGACAAAAGCAGTAGTGTTTGCGAGCACCAGAGTCCCCTTTTGAAAACCTCTCATTTTACTGCAGCAGGGTCAGACGCACCGCAAAGTCCCGGTTCTGGTTCTCCCGTGCCTCCCTACCCTCCAGCGGGCCCAGCAATATGTCCCGGGCCTCCGGCAGCGTGGTGTCGTAGCTCAGACAGCAGGTTGAAGGCGGCAGCGGAGGCAGGTTGGTTGCTGCCTGAGCAGAAGGAGTTTCTGGTGGAACTAGATAGAAATAGCCCATATTGTCGCTGATGATCTTGTTTGCTTATGTAGGTCATATAGAGGCATCAGTATTTTGACAAGTTTAAAAGCTCCTTCTACTAACTTTAAATTATGTAAAAGGACACGACAACCTGATAAATACCGAGTAAAGTTTTTTACTGGTGATAATAAAATGCCCTGTTAAAATGAAACTGTTACAGTCACTATGACATCCCATTCCGGTAATCGTAATACATATTTTTGTTGTTACGTTGCATCTCCCTCTTTGGATGAGCTCACAATATATTCCAGTAGAACTACCCTCCTTTGGGGTTTAGTCTACACCCATGGAGGGACCCAACATAGACTGAAATAGCTTTCAATTATTTCTCACTGAAAGGTTTCTTCCTCTGACCAGTGTAGAGCTCAGTGTGCTGTGTAAATTATTGCAGGTCATTATTCAGGCTGTTGTTACGCGTGGCCTTGATGGGAAGTCCATTATATTCTTAACTTGGGAGACATGTTTTATCCTGCTCTGCTGCTTATTGTTATTCACGGTGGGTGAGTGGACACACACACACTGAACACGGCGAAGGTTATTATGATGGCTGTTATGAAGAGCAGGTGAGGCTTTCAGATGAATGACTCTGATAGGGAAACACAGGCAGGACGTCCTCTCCTCCCTGCAGATTAAAGGAGTTTCCGCTCCCTCGCTCCCTTTCTCCTTGTCATCCTCCCACGAGGTAACTTTCCTTCTGCTGTTGGCGTGTCTCCCTCTTTCCATTTGACTTAGCATCTCTCATTACTTACCTGTATTTATTTGCCATCTTACATTATCATGTTGCCCTTTTTGTTTTGTGATATGACCTCCTTGCTCTATCCGTCCTTCACCTCTCTTCATCTCGTCTTCATAGCATTGACAGCAGCAGGAATCACAGGGTGTGAACACACTAATAGGCTCAAGTGGCTTCGTAACGTGCTGTGTGTGTGTCTGAGAGAAAGAGATTCGATGAGGATTCTGCCCCTGCTGCTCTGTTGGCCTCTGTCTCTAATGGCGTTCATTAGCCACCCTGAGAAATGATTCACACGTACACATGTGTTCACACACATCTAATCGAGTGCATATGTACTTTACATAAAGCTCTGATGCGCGCACGTAGTGGGGAACAAAAAGAGCACGGCATCCCTTTGCTCCCTCTTTCGCATTTCACACACACACATTCACACTCACTCCCACACACACACACACACACACACACACAGACCCACTCAAACCTCACTCGGCCCTCTTTAATTGGACACTTGAGCAGCGCACGGCTGTATCTGGCTCCTGTTGAACACAGCCTGACATTTCAGACTGCTGACCTTTCCAGCCCCGCCACAACTAAATAATGATTAGTCCTGGCAACTGTTCCACCACAGCAGCAGCCAGGTACACACACACACACACACACATATGCACACGAGCATGTACACACACACAGACACACACAGGTGCAGGCAGCACAAAACAAAAACAACAAAAACACCTGCATGGAAGGCTTTGTCTTTTCACAGTGAGAAAATGGGGTGCAGACATTGATTGGAGAGGCCATTGTCATTCCTTTGGTTTATCGATTAGATTGTCCTTTTCCATATCTGCAGTCAGCACCCAATAATGTGTTGTTCTAAATTAACTCTGCTTGCCTCTGTTTAGTTTCTCCTTTCCCCTTTATGCGCTCTCAGCATTACAGTGGAAAAAAAGGTCAATCATATTCATGAGATCTGGGCAGATTGCAGAGAATGGCTGTGTGCAAGTGTGTGTGTCCGTGTGTGTGTCCGTGTGTGTGTGTGTGTGTGTGTGTGTGTGTGTGGTTACTCGTGAACACACTTTTGGGTTTGTGCACAGATGCGTGCAGTGCGCGTGTGTGTGTGTGTCTAAACTAAAGCGATGAAGCGGCGTGAAGATAATAGGCAGCTCTCAGATCTCTTCTCTCACTTTGGTCTCTTTCACTCGATCACTTCTCTTATTGTATCTCGATTTCCCCGCTGTTTCTGTCAGAACAGAAAAGAATTGGTCTTCATTAGAGCCTCTCTTTAGACAGTCTTTGTGTTTCCTGCTCTGCTCTCTCCTCACAAAACCACTGTACATTAGAGGGCAGAGGGCACATTTTGCGCAGCTTGCTGCTCACTATCAAATGTCTGAATCTTTCTTTCTACATGTGGAAATATGTAAATCTAGCACGTGAGTGCATGAGTATATGCACAATATGAACAAATGTATTAAGTATGGAGCTGATGGTCACAATCATAATTATTTCAGCCTTAATTTTTCCATTGAAAACCCCCTAGTCAGGCTGTATAAAAAAAAAATCAAAGCAGGAAAAACATCAGTTCATGTTGCTAAATTCAAATTCCAATGCATATTTTAAAGAAATGGAAACATCTTTTGGTTTTCAGGAGTCCAGTGGGGTATCCAGCGGATACATTGAATACACAAACAATAAAAGCACAGCTCAATTGTATGGTCTTCAATAGAACACATTACAACCAAACTGACAACGCGCTGGTGGTTGGTACAGTATCTTTACTGTCACAAGTGCATTTACTTTACACACCGCAGTAGCTGATATACCCAGTCCTAGTAGTTTGTGATGACATTCATTTGAAGGAATCTGCAGTGTGCTGAAGGAATCCCTCACGTGTTGTGTCTCGATGAACAGTCATGATGTGGACGTCCAGTTAGTACTTTATCTTCTTACATTAGGCTTCAACTGATGATTGGCATACAGCGAGATGTCTGATCTGTTTCACACTTTCACCAGTACAGTAGACATGGGAATTAAGTTTTTTTTCACCAGGATGACACTTACAGTTGCTCAAATGGCCAGGAGGAGCAACAGTTAATGAAACAAACACACCATTTGGAAATCAGGGAGCCGTGGAAATTAGTTTGGCTGTTATTGCAGAAAGCTTAGCCATCAGCAACAAGTTTGTTGTCTGCCCAAACGTATTATGGTTGACTAAAACAAGACAAGCACCAACCTCAGACTAAAAAAATTAAAAAATATATCTGATAGATATTTAAATTAAACAAATGATTTTGCTTGTTTTTCTGTACGTGCAGGAATAATTAAATGTTCGACTCCCATGAGCCTTGCTTTCTCCAGGAAGTACCAGCATTAACAGCGCCTTTTCTATTTGCATAATACGTGTCTGAAAATGGGGATTACTTCGAAGTAAATTGTCTGCAGTGTGAACGTGGGGTCAACAGTTTGCTCTAATTTACACAATGCACCAGCCTGGCCTTCCCTCAGCCATTTAATAGCTTCTATTTCTCCAGATGAAAGTCTCTGGGCAGCCGTCCAAACAATATAGTGATATATCATGTGCTTATGTCTTTGTTGTGGTGCTGTTGTTTTGAATAGCATGTCTTTTTCTTGGTCCTCTTGCAAATTGTACCCATGGAGTTCTGTCATAGTGCTGAGAGTTTCCCTCCCACTTCTAATGCTTGCTTCATGAAACACAGGGAGAATATTTAAGCTATTTGAGGTGGTACCATTCCCATTTGACTTTGAAGAAAACACGTTTGTGTCAGAACATTAATCTTTCTTTCCTTATTCTTGCAGAAAAAAAAGAAAGTTAACCCCTTGTGTGTACCAGTTTCTTTCTTGTCCAATGTACAGACTTTCATCAGCCGATCTTTATCGGCCGGACCGATACCCCTTTTGTGTTGCACTGAAACGTACACTCATTCATTAAGCCCTCATTTTACCATCGAACGGCTGTGATCAAGCCAGCGGGGCACTGTAATGGCAAAATATATTGAACTCTGTGTATCCGTGTTGTGAACCTGAAACTTACGTGTGGTTAAAACTATGCAGTAATGAGGAACTTGGAGGTGAAAGTCTCATCTTATCTTGAAACCGTAACTGGTTCCCAGTTGAACGCATCTGGCAGAAACTAGATAATGAGCAGATCAAGACAGCCTGTGTCAAAAGACCTGTACTCCCCTATGTATGATTTATCTAGAGGAGGGGGCCTCTGTATGCATAAAATGATGTGGTGTCTGATACTTCGTCGAAGCATTCACACAGTCTACTCAATACGTAGCTGTTGTGGTTTCTTCCCTCTTGCAAGAGCATAAACGGACAAAGACAAACTTGAATCTTGTTAAGACTTTATTATTGATTTGTGAACAAAAAGTCTCTTCTCCCGATTAACGTAGAAATCTTCCACAACAGCACGCATGCACTAAAAGCCCCACATGGCCGGCCCGGCTATGTGAACAAAGCACCGAGAAGCTCTGATTACAACACACACAGATGGAGAGTTACTCCACTATATCTTTACATAGCAAATAGTTGTTTGATGCTTTATTAATGTTCTGAATATCATATATTATACTTTAAGTAAGTATGAGCTTCTTGCACATTATTCCTAACCCCATGGTGCTTTTCGGGAGTTGACCCCGGCAAGAAACGTTTGAAACAACCTGTGTACAGCCTCCTGCTCGCCACCCAGGCATGTGGTACGTACCTGAGCTGATAGAAATCTCTGGGTGGCTCGATCACTGAGTGGTTGACTGGCTTCGGGCTGGGGAGCTGCAGAGATTTGTTTTTAGTGGAGCACAAGACTTTGCACCTTGAGGGAGGGAAGAAGGGAAGAAGAGAGAGAAGAAACAGAGAAGAACATTATTTATATGAAAAAAGCAGGCTTTTGTGTAAATGAGCAGCTGTGAAAACAACACTTCCTATTATTGCCCTAATTATATCCTTTCTCCGTGAATTTGCATATTTTATCTCCCTCCTCTTCATTACTTTGCCTCCATTTTGATGTGGTTAAAAAAAAAAACTCACATAAAACAAACAAAGAAGGAGATGAAGGATGGAGGGGGGGGGGTGCGTTGGCCGCTTCATATTGAGTATTTTCCAGTTGATTTTGTTAAAGGCTTCTCAGCAGCATAGCTAAATAAGCAGCAGCATGCTAATAAATGGAGAACGAGTGTGATAATTCACCAGACGAAGAATGCAGGACTGTGAGAGATAGGGACCAGAAGGAAGGGTCAGCACAATATTGAAAATATTCCCTAAATATTTGCCACGAAACAATTATTTAAAACCTTTCTCCAGCCTAAATGCCTGAATGTTGGGTTTTTTACGTCAAGCATACTGTATATTGCTAATGCTTAGAGTAAATATTCCCTGTGTCGCAAATACGGTAATTTCACACACTGTACACACAGTCAACCGTGTGTTTCATGTTGTTGCAAGCAGAAAAGGGGAGAGAGATGGAGAGAGAGAGTGCTAAACTCAGAGGACAGTAAATGACAACAGAGAAACACAGACTCTTGTCTGTCCGCTTTCTAAAAGGGCGATGTGATGAAGGCAGTAAACAGGCTGTGGGCTCTGAGATTATTTCTTTGTCACCAGCAGAGCCACCAGTGTTGCTGAGCACTGCTGTGGAGCAAATCCTCCTAGAGAGGGCTGATTGGATTTTTGTTCCAGGGAGCCTTTTGTGTTAGCAGCATAGGGACTAGATAATAGAGGTTGATGCCACTCTGTCTCTGTGTTATGGCTGGTGGATTGAGTTTTTGGACTGTGTGTGTGTGTGTGTGTGTGTGTGTGTGTGTGTGTGTGTGTGTGTGTGTGTGTGTGTGTGTGTGTGTGTGTGTGTGGTCTTTCTAGACAACCACTATGTTATTCACAACTTATTGCATTCTCTTTGCTTCTGGGCATGCAGGATGCTAAATATCGGAGCATCGGGGCTATACCTGTTACTAATAGTAGGGCTTACCGCTACGATGAATTGTTAATATGATAACCCGTCTATCAAATATGAAAATATTCTGCGCATGCAGGTGTACGTTGCCAGGAGATACTCACTGCTGCCACGGTCAAGGTCGTTATCAGCCTTTCCTCAGTCTGTGCCTTGGTCCTTCTGTCAGATCTACGTGTGGAGCATGTATGCCCACCGACTGTGTATGTAGAGGACTGTATGTATAAATACAAATTTTATACATTATTGATTTGTGTAGGGAAATTCTACTTTTAATTGCCCTGCTTTCACTCGCGGATCAGCCGTCAGGTTCATATAGAACAGCAGCCTCGGTCTTTCTGCAGGAAACTTCAACACAGCAGACGCTTGAACCCAAGTCCATTAAATTCAGTGAAGTCATTAAGCCACCCTGCTGTGCTGTGCTGTGTGTGTGTGTGTGTGTGTGTGTGTGTGTGTGTGTGTGTGTGTGTGTGTGTGTGTGTGTGTGCGTGTGTGTGTGACTTTGCACTGACTTCTATTGGAGACCAAGGAGTGATACAGATTTTCACAGGGCAATCACAGTCAACAAGCCAGTTAGAGCAGACATTCAACAGAAATATTTAATGAATTGCTAATGTTTCCAACAGTGCACATTTTCGAAGTTATATTAGATTGAGAAATATTTGTCCAGAGTATGGTCTTCAGCCCTGGAGGATAATTATGGATTCATAGGTAATGAAAAATATTGTCAAACCTCTGCAGACGTATTCCCTTTCTTCATGGAACAGGAAAAGTTGCTCCTTAAAATTCTGTGTACTTGTCTCTCAGAGGCGGCATCTCAGTGACAACAGAGGTGTGGAGTGTTGTCAGGCGATGTGTCTCAGGCCATGCTGCACCTGATTGCCAAATTTGTCTTGACTGTTTTCTCCACCACAGAACTAAATGTGTCTCCAGCATTGACAAAGAGCTAGACTGTGTTTCTCACATCACACAGGATTTACCACAGATTTGAATAGGTTTGGGTCAGCATTATTTTAGCTCAAACGGATAAAAATGTGTTTGCGTTTCGCTCACCGGAGAGTTTAGATATTGCTCGCGAAGATGAAAATTTGGATACGATTAAAAACATGAAATAGAACGAGGGTACAAGGGAAGAAAAAAGCTCTGTGGCATGAACAGACGTTATTGTACGTTGGGGACTTGCAGCTCTTTCAATAGAAATTAAAACAAGATTAATAAAAGAGCAGCGCACAATGGAATAAGATGACTGCTGAGTTTTGATGTGCTTCTTTCAGACGCAGCAGCGCACTCTGTGGTAACGTATTAAGCTCAGAACCAATCTTACAGTGAGCTGCAGGAAGGATTCTGTGGAGGATTTTTTGAGATCTGTGACCTTCTTTGTCCTTGACTAGTGTGTGTGTGAGGTGGGTCTGTGTCGCCCCCCCCCCCATCTGATCCATCACCCCACCACCATGGGTCCCCCCATCCCGTAGCGGGGAGCGAGCTGCTGGGCGGCCTGGGTTTTATCTGCTATTATCTGTCAGATGCTATGCACCTGTGAGCCTGGCTGCCCCTCCGCATGACGGGCGGCCGTGGTCGCTCGAACAATCCCAGTGGCTCCCTGCTGTCAGCTACAGCAGCAATGAGAAGTTCTCTGGCTGCCTCCGTCTCTCTCTGACAGCCACCCTGGAGGAAACGGGGACGAGAAGCAAAGGGAAGAGGAGGAAAAGGGGGGAGAAATACCATTAGGATGAGCTGTATTCCCACAGACCAAAGCTTGCCCACCAGCCATGTGCAGCAGCTCACCTGGCTGCCAGATAAGTGGAGATTAGAGGACGAGACGGTGGAAAAGGTATTAGAGCCATAAAAAAATGTCTCTGAAACCCAGGGACAGCTTTGATACTTTTAGGATTCCTTGTGTCGTGTGTGACATTTGATGCCGACTTAAAAAGGGGCGCAGAGTCGGACGCTCCGCGCTGCTCCGACACAGATGGGGCAATATTTGGTCTTTTATGTATTTTTGCTTGTTTGTTCCCCGTATCTATTGTTGGACTTGCTGTTGCCACTGTATAAATTACAGTTTTGCGAGTTCCCTATCTAGTTAGCGGAGAATAACAGTCTGGTGACAGGGGCAAGATCAATACAGGGCCGCAGTTGGAGGTAGAGCGGCCCTAATGAACTGAATTGACTGGTGCTGAAATATGATCAGTATTTCTCTGGTGGCCATTATGTCCCTTATGAAGAAGATCAATGTCTCGTGGGTGGATCACTGAGTATACACAGCATGGTGGCAGGGCCGGTGCTGATACCACTCTAAAAACTTAATGAGGGATTTAGTCACAATAAGGTTTGCCTCTGTGTGTGTGTGTGTGTGTGTGTGTGTGTGTGTGTGTGTGTGTGTGCGTGTGTGCTCCATGTTCTTCTTTCCATCTCTCTCTTTCAGTCAAAGGTCTGTTTTCAGGCCCTGCAGCATTAGTAGCTGATGTGCTTGTATGAGACTGTGCTGTTCATTTCATGGGCTATCACTTTTTAAATTGGTGAATGCCTTCTTCATGGTTGATTAGTAATTCATGCGGAGCTAATTAAGAGGCTTAATAAGAGAACGACTGGTGACGTGCCTCCAACCAAAATAGGAAAGCGCTTTTACCCCGGACTGTAAACACTTGTGATTGATCGTGGTGGCACGTTGCCCATAAAAGACGTTCACGCTCCTCTGAATCCGTCGTCTTGGAACCAGACACCCATATCTTCATTTTGCCTGGTGCTTTCCTGATCTTGGAGCATCTTTCCAGAAAGTTGCCTTAATGATCCCTCCGTCCCAGCTGTCTAATGCCTGGCATCGTCCTTTTGCTGGGTCTGTTGTCTGTGTGATGCTGCTCAGGCTGGCGCCCGCTCCCTGCCAGCCATCATCACGCACACACCTGTACCAGCATCTGTCCATCCTGCAGATTGGCACAGGTGCTGCCTGTAGATTGACTGTCTACGTGCCGTTAAGGCGACGTACACACCCCCAAGCATGTGAATTGCAAGATGTCGTCTTGTTCTCCTTCTCTCACTATAATTGTCCGTCGCACTTATCTGATGAATAAAGGGGTCGTTTATTGAATCCGGTCGTCCATCTGTCTGTTTGTCCGTTTATCGGTGGGAACTCTTTATGATTCCAGGCGCAACACTGCAATGATGACGTGTGTACCCGCAGTCTAATTCCATCATCAGCATCATTACTGCTATTATCCCGTGTCTCCCTTTAATACAGGCTAATGGATGACCAATAAAGATAAATGAGCCTGGCAGTGTGGAGCTAATAGGCAGGACATGATGTCTGGCTTCTGTCCTGACTCTTCTCTTTACCCGATCAACTGGCCCCATAGAGACAAAACATAGCTGAAATAAAATCTGCAGTTATTCCTTCAATTTGAATCAATCACTGTATCTTCAGCTCATCAGCATGCCAATAGTTTAGAACAACTCAGCGTTGATTTTGTATGCTTGAGTAACTACTTAAAAAAAGAGCTGATTGGATTTATAAATTAAAAGTCAACAAACAACAATGGACACACAGCATTTAACTGATATTCAAAGTGTTAGGAATTAATAGCGTTTTGGATGTGGAAAGGTCATTTCTTACTCAACGGAAAGTGGCACCAACTCTTCTCTAATTACATGTTTATAGTCCTTTAACGGTGTGTATTTGTGAGAGAGAGTGAGAGATAATCAAGAAAATATGATACTACCATATTCTATGTATACTGGCATAGACGCTGCAGTGACAAATGACAGTTCATATTCAGAAATTGTACACATTCTATATATTACACAAAACAGTGCGTTCATCGGAGCACTGTAAATACAGGTGATAATTAAATGGAAATAACGGACTGTGGTGAGTTTACAAAATGTTCAGTGGGGGGGTGGGGTACATTCTCACATTCAGAAATGTCTGTAATATAAAAAAAAAATCTAATTAGTTGAGCTCAACTTTTATTGTGTCTCCAGGCAGACTCCACTCTTTGGTGCACCTACATAAAACTTAAGGAGTTTTTGATTTGAACTTGCCGGAGTAACGTCGTGGTTTAAACACTGGCCACTTCAAAGACAGAAAGCTCCAAAAACCGAGCAGCCTTACGTTGACAAGCCCAGCCGTGAGCACAGGAGAGCCATCGAACAGAAGCTTAGATTAGCAGTAATCCTTTGTTAGTTAGACTTGTTGAGAAGCTGCTCAAATCTCTTGTCCATCACTCTCCTTCCTGTTATCGTTTGTGGGGCTCTGTGAAAGTGTCAGTGTAAAGATGTTTAGGAAATGACCATGGCACAGCCTTAAAAACTCAACTAATACGATTTATAAAACATGTTGCAATATGTTGCTTCTGTAAATATGTAAATATGTATATGAATGTTACATTTAGATAGTTCAACGTAATGTTTCTTCACAGAAAAATGAAGCGAACTAGTCTCCCAAATCAAAAGCATCACTTGGAAGATGTAACAAACAAAACAGCCCAAAATACTGCTCCAATAACTGACATAAAATGACTGTTATACTGTTCTGGGAGTTACTGTGATCACTTTGTGTTTGTTTTTTAAATTCTCTTGTATACATCTAACAGACTCTGGAACCGGTCATACAGCACAGTGAACAAACATCTCGGGGAAGCTGGCATTTGAAACAGGCCTAATCATAACTAACTAAATGCCTGAAACTATGAAACGAAATATCAGAGAAGAAAAAATGCTCCGTATAGTTCTGCATCAGTTACTTTTCAATTACAGCAGCCGAAGCAGAACGAAATTGTTAGTGTCATTTATCGACTGTGGTGCTCTCCATTAGAGTAACAACTGAGAGAAATCCATCCTGTGTTTATAACCACCTGGCTGTCTAACAATAACAAAGAGTTCATTTCTGTCAGCCGGCCTTAAATCTTTCTGTTGTGAGTCAAGGAGCAGATGAAACGAGTACACCAGGAAACACATGAAAGCGCACAGAGATCAATGAAATCTGACCAGGCAGGTAATCATCTTGGTGGCTTTTCTCACTGCAGCTCCCTGAAACTATTTTCTTACGAGACAAGAGGTAATCGGTGTCTAATTTGAGAAAGGTAATGACCCTGGACGTCTGAAATATCCTGCTGAATCACCTGAAACAATACTTGAAATATCATATGTTAAAGTTGGTATTTTGCAAATCTTGTTCTTTGCAAATATAAATAGAAATATAAAGTGTTTTAATTATTATATTCACACTACAGGTGTGTAGTGTTGTTCAAATGTTTATGACGCAGATATATGAAAACAGTTGAATACTTCTGTATCTGAGCATCTCTGAACAACAAAGTTACTGTCACGTCCATTACTTATGCCTTGATGATCAACCCTGGTGATGTGGACCAGGCAAGACTAGCCGAGCGCAGACACCATCCCCAACCCCCCTATGTGTATATATTTTTTTTTAATACTTTGTGAGGAAAAACTGTCAACCATATCCAAAGTGCAGGACCAAAGAGAAGTAAAATAATGTATGCTTTTGTTAGATTCTTTGAAGACGATATGTGCTACGCGTTGCCCGTTTTAAATGTCGAAGATTTCAGACCTCTGCACAAAACAGATTTTGATAATCAGAAGGTGTATCTGGTTCACAGAACTGAAGAGAATGGCAGCGCAGGCCAGCCGTGCGAAGCACAGATCCTTGCCCTTGCAGGTAAGTTGCCCTTTTAACACATCCGCGTTTCTATTTTTTAAAGATGTTTTTCCTCTGTCTGACCGAGTAACGTTGATGTGCGCGAAACGTGTCAAGGTGTCAAAGCAAGTCGTTTTGTCCGATCTGTCAAGACGTGATCAGCTGGAGTCTGACACTGATAGCCACAACAACGTCCTCGGCTAGCTAGATAAGCTAGTCAGATATGCTAAGATAAGTTTGGGAGATAGTCATTACCTTGTCGTCAATGCTTTACAGATTTTTACACTCGGTGTGATCGTTTTCCAAGAGTTGTCTCTCTTGTTTCGACAGAGCAGTGCTGCTTGTTTCGCTAAATACGTGGCATGCAACGTTAGCCAGTCACAACGGTTGTTTACAACACGGAGCTAACGCTTGCTAGCTTGACGAGTGTTCGTTCCGCGTTAGCATGTTAGCACTGACGCGCTCGTTAGCTGCGTGCAGACGCAGAGCTGTCAGTGCATGATACACACATGTGACAGTCCGCGGTTGACCCATTATCGATTTTTGTAGAGGTTTGTAAGTGTAGGCGAGCCGCTAGGATTAGAGCTTCGGTGGGTGGCGGTTAGCTTGTTAGCTGGGCTTATCTGTTGGTTTGTGCCACAGAGAGGATGCGGTGCTGCAGTCATCGTCTCAGATATTAATGGGGACAACGTCTGTCAGTAACATGTCAACGTCATGGTTGTTTCATGACGGCGCATCATGTGCTGAAGTGAAACGATTTGCTCAACGCTAGCTCCAGCTACGGTGATGTTTGCTCACGGACGTTTTCTATGCCCCGATCTTTAGCTACCTCACTAATCCCCGAATCTGAGCTGTCTGGGCTGCGGTCCGATCAACTAACACCTTCACAGCAGCAGTTATCTTGAAGCGCTTTGTAGCCAGGACGTTTTGTATCGCAACACCCTGTAAATATGTTATTGTGAGAGTGCTAAAGTTAGTTTGATCTAGCAGAATGGAGAGACAAAACGCCATCTGCTCGAGTTGGACAAATGGATGAAATAATTCTGCAGGTACTTTAACGTTTCATGAAAATCCATCCAACTTTTTGGAAACTTTTATGAGTTTCTTCCTGCTTCTATTTCTGCACTTCACAGATACAGTAGAGGAATTTGAAGACAGTATAATGCAAAAGAAGATGAAAATTCCCAAGATGTCCATCAAGAATTCAGGAAACTCTATCGAAAACAATTTTGGAGAGGAGAGAATGCCACTCAGGCATAAAAAGGTAGGCTAACCTAGATTAGATGGTAGTTGTGTTATTTTGGAGTTTGTACAATGATACCAGTATCATGACATTGAGTCACACTGCCCCTTGTTCCTGCTGATATTAGGCTTATTTATTGATAGAAATACAAGTTTATTATCTAAAATAAGTAAATATAATCAGCCATGTTTGTGGGTGCAATGATCAATAACAAGTCACAAAATTACAAAGTATCCCACTTAAATTTCTTATATTGACACTCTTTTGTGGTGTCAGTAAGGACCCTAAATATTTTTGCCCATAGAAAAAAAAGCATTGTAAGTGTGAACGCATGTGTGACATGTATCATGTTGATCCCTACACAGAAATAGTCTTTTATTTAAATACATCTATTGATGATACAATGTACATTTCCATAAACTTGGCTGACACCCAAAATCCCCCACGCTATTTTTACCATATGCTGGATTAACACAAATTCAGCACTCTGGACAGCTGCCCTTTCACAGACAAATCCTCTGAGCGGCTCATCAAAGAACTCGGTGACTCCTCTTCTCCCAGTTCCTATTGAGATCTGCACAGTCCACGCAAAGTGTTTGCAGTCTGTCATGTCCTCTTTAGATTGATGTGTGATTCTTCTCTCTGTTTGGCCTTCAAATTGTTGAATAGAACCACTATTTGTCACATATGAAGTGCACTTTGTCACTGATGCCGCAAAGAGATTTGGGAAATTCTGTGAAAAATTGTGTTCATATGTTAACCTTTCTAGTTATTACAAGTCAAATTTCATTTCACTGGCCTATTTGTCCCCAAAATTGACAGTTATTGCTTTCTTCAGGCCCTGTCTCAGGACCATGGACGCCCACTTTCCAACTCCTCCAAGAGCCTGGCAGCAGTAGTGGCTCGCCTGGAGAGAAATGCAGCCAGCTCCTGTGTGGAGGGCGAAGAGGACCTGGACGAGGACCGGCTGGCTGAGGAGGGAGAGGATGCAGATGACGAAGATGAAGATATGGAGGCAGAGCATCAGCATCATCATCACCAGCAGCAGCAGCAACAACAACAACAGCATTTGGAGGTGGACGCGGATTGTGTGTCTGGGGTAGTTCCAGCAGTGGTTCCTAGAGTCCTGTACGAGGAGCTGGTGCATAGCTACAGGCAACAGGAGGAGGAGATGAGGAGGCTGCAGCAGGAGCTGGAGAGAACCCGCAGGCAGCTGGTGCAGCAGGCTAAGAAGCTGAAGGAATATGGCAGCTTGCTGACAGAAGTCAAAGAACTGAGGGACTTCAACAGGAGGTTGCAAGACGTACTTCTCATGCGACTGGGTAGCGGTGAGAGACAAGGAGCATGCACACCCCAACACGCAAAATACTGCCGTGTATGCCACAAAGTTTACTAGTAACCTTTGACCTTCAGTCATTTCAAGAATTGTGATATTGAAAAATGAGTACATATATAGTCGTATAACTAAAATTCAGCTTTAGACATTGTCTTTTTAGTCTAGATGTACATGAGCGTGTAGGACTGCTGTTAAAAATCAGTTTATTCTTCTGAAATCAAGATACACCAACAAAGTTA